ATCTGCTTAGGCCGCGTGCGCCTCCAAACACGCGGTCTCTGTACCAGCTGTCCCAACCCACGGGTGAATGAATGGGCTCGCGCATGTGCCCACTGCGTAGCGCTTTCATTGTGGAATTCCTATTTTTGAAATAAGGTCGCCGTCTATATTTACACTCAAAAAACTAAAGAATATGTCGCGCGACTGTGGACCCGATATTGCGGCATATTTTTACTTTTGTGCCAGCACATCTCCTGGCTTTACGCCAGCCTTTTGAGCAGAACATTATGGGTTTCATAACAGAGATGTGTTTGATATTTGGGCCTGTCATGGAAGTGTAATTCTTCCTCGTTTTTAAGAACGATTCTAACGAAGGATATTCTCTTCCTGTTCACAAAATTCTCATACGTCTCTTGAAAGTTTTTGTTTCTTGTGTAACAAAACTGTGTGTTCGGGAAATCCCGTAGATCGACAAAGAAAGCATTCAACAGAAAAGTTAGACTCAGAAGATCTGGCAGCAGCGACTGTTCATTAAGTTGCGTAACTTTTATTTGGAAACACGGAACGTCATTTTAAAGGGCGCTGTAAGGTGACACGCAGAAATTAATAATGGTACCCAGAAAAAGCAAGCTTGTTATTTTTAACGCCACACAGTCGTTTCTAATTATTTAAAAACAACAGTTTTGGAGATGTGAACTACAAAATGAAAAGTCAGGGTGACATCTGCTGAAAGATTAACGTAAAAGTAACAAACTCCTCTTGCCAAGTTTCTTCATTAACCTTATCAGCGTGAAGTGAAGAAAAGTATTCACAATTATGTAAATTAATGAGACTGATCTATTGACTGATTAGTGATTTCTGGAGCGTTAACTACTAAGGTCATTAGTTCCGTAAGTGTAAGTCATTAGTTCCATAAGTAAGCATGTTAAGCGCAGACAAGCTCCTCGCTCCTGACCGGTCTCCCGGTATGTGTGGAAGTATACGGTATGTAAGTGTAAGTGTGTGTGTGAAAGTAAGGGGTGAGAGTAGGACAATGAGGAGGAAGGAAAGATTGCATGCTGTCTGTGGCTCGATTATTAGAGTACTGCTCCTGCATTGATCGGAGAAATCACGGGAAACTACCGATCAGAGTAGCCGGCCGCTAGAATTCTCCTCCAGACAGCGACTGAATTCGACCGAGCTACGAGTATAAAGCTAAAATCCAGCATCCTACCACTCGAACCTAGGACCTCACGGTCAGAGGCACTGCAGTGACATCAGTTGGTACTCTGAGTCACATTCCCGGTCAAATGAATGAAATGGCAATTATTGTTGCAATATGATACAATACCATTTTTATATAATACTTCATACATTTTTGTAGCTGAATGCCATATTCATGAGAGAATAAGGTGGAAGAGAAAAAGTACTATATTTATTAGTTAAGAGAATAAGAAACTGCAGAGAAACGTATAATCGGAAACAGTGAAATACGTTTTCTCATCCCAGAGTATTAATCATAAATCATCATTGCATTGTGATTCACAGACGAAGTTTCAAATTCCTTCCTTAATCCTCAAATGAGACATAAATGCTCCTAAAAATTGCAAAGGAGCACTTGGAGTGATTATAAACAGGTGAAACCATCTGTCAGGATTTGCCTAGAAAGTTAAGATTTTCTTTTGAATTTAATTTAAAATAAATTCCTTTGAATAGAACGTCATATTGTTTCGGCAGGTTCTCGAAGGTGGCCTGTATCTTCCGTGGCATAATAAAAATACTAGAAGGTATTTTAGAAAACTCAAGGAATTTTTACTTCGTTTTCGCACCACAGGATAATTTATCATATGATTAAAATACTACCTTACTACAAACATTACATGGGGAGGGGGAGGGCTATTTACATCGTGTATACCAGTACAGATGATTTGTTCTTACATTCTCCCTTTTAAAGCCTTATAATTCAGTCCTAAACAAGTGAAGACAAGTGTAAAAAGATTGAAAAAGACCACCCAACGGACTATATGCCCAATAGGTGGAGCAGTTCGAAGTAACGTATGCACGTAACATGTGTGACGAGAAACAAATTCGACGAATTGAATACTTTGTTGATGCTATATTCTAGCGTGTGTTTGTTGTAGCGTGTTGACGTCTAATAATCTCCAAATATTCCTTTGTAAAAATCATTCCATCTGTTTTAAATCATTCCTCATCATCATTTCCCCACATGATCATCCATCTTCTCTCTCCATTAATATTTTACTTTCTTGTATACTTACGTATATACTGAGAAATATAGGTAAGATAATATTAGTATAGAAGAAGTTATGTCGTGCTGAGGAAACTCGATTTCGAGATTTTGACGGAAATACGGACGTTCCCTGGGTCCCCTGATACCGAAAGTGAGTTTTTACAAGGCGGTCTGTCTGTTTATCCGTCGATCCGTCTGAAAAATTACTTGTAGCCGAACCTTTTAGTAGAAATTTTTTCCAAAATGATTATTTCTGGTGCCAAAACGCAATATTTTTGTACGGTTATTGCTAAATGTACTGTAAGAAAAATAAGATAAAAACGCCATTTTTCTATATTATTTGTTTTTTATCCCAAATAATTATAGAAATATAATATTTTTGACATCCCTCCTATGTCATTAATATTTACATTACAGATACTTTTTAAACGATATTGCATTTATGAGTAAAAGTTTTTAAGTGATTTTCAATGAAGTTTTTCGATAACTAAAATGTTTTCCGTAAAAATGAGCTCAAAATCACCAATTAAAAAAAAGCATTTCAAATGACATTTTCTTTAAAACGGCTGTAAAGTTTCAAACGAAAATTTGCTTATAGGATCACATTTTACTCTTCTATAATACGTTTGAAGTTATATTTTAATTCCATCATTAGTAAAAATTACCTTTAGGTAATATATGGCAACTAGAAAGATGGTGTAACAAAACCGAAAAGCTAGTCCAACAAATGTTTAAGAAAAATAACTATGGCTCCCTAGGTTATTAGTAACAAACAACTTCACAGTGAATTACGAATTGAGTCAATACAAGAACACATCCTAAAATCCTCTCACACGTTCTTTGACACTCTTTCAGGATCTCCAGCCACGCCCAACTTCAAACTCGGCAAAAACTACCCAAAACCAAATAGAATATGCTCACGATTTCCCAAAGATAAACTCAGACCTCCATAAATACTCAACGTCATTAATTCCCTACAGATATTAATATAAAATAATAACATATAAATATTTTATTCAATGAATTATAAAAACATATTCACATCATATCAATTTTCAAAATTTCACATTGAACACAGAAAGTAATATTCAGGATAATTAGCGTGAGAACAAATATCAAATCATTATTTTGTAAAATGTTAACACCTCTGAAAGGCAGCAATGCCGAACAGGAGGTAATAAATAAAAAAAAGCTAGCCCAAACTAATGAGATTAGAAAACTAGCTAATACGAGAAAGTCGTTCCAATTCTGTAGTACCACTAGTTTTACTTGTCTGGATTCCGAGGTGGACGATCACTTGCTAAAACTCAGATCTGCTTGCAGTAATGTACAATTCTTCAAAACTTGGTCTCCTGCTGCGTCATATAGAGGGAACAGCAAACAAACATGCATTCCGGCCTCGTGTCAGGAAAAGAAGGTCATTAAGGAGTAAGCCTCTTTTACCTTTACATTTAGTAATGAGCAATGCACTCAACAACATTATTTTCGTCATTACCGCTATCATTGTGGCTCGTGTATGAAACTTGTATCGGTTAAAACCTTGCATAGAAACACATATTTAAAATACTGTTAATAAACTATTTCAAATTAAAGTAAAATATAATATTATCTATGATTATATATGGCCTTATGTCTATAGCGGGTAACGGTTGAGCGAGTTTGATGTAAAGGTGATTATGAAGATTTAGTATGATTGATGTTGGAGAAATTGTGAACTGAGAGAAAAATCGGGAGAGCTTCGAGAAAACCTAACGCTTTCCCGTTTAGTCCACCACAAGTTTCACACTGAACGACCGGGATTTGAAGTACGGTCTCAGCGATTAAAAATGCAAGGAGTCTGATTACCACACCATGGATCGCTCCTGCAATTGGAGATTCATTGTTCTCACTTGAAATGCTTCCTTACATTCAAAGTCTTTAAGCGTAATACTTAAAGCACATTTTCAATTCATTTCTAACGTGAAGTTAATACACATATTCATGCAAATGCTATGTGTTCCTTTTAAATCAATCCCGTCCTCCCTCATTTTTCCTCATTTCACACAGAGAATCCTTAAAGGCGTCCGAATTTTCTTTGAAGTTATTTATTCTGTATTGTATTAAACATTTGAAAGTGATTCGATGGAAGAGCAGGTCGAATGGCCCGAGTCTCTCCACCAATAACTACATTTAATTAATTAATTAAATTAATTAACTTGTTTATTTATTTTATACTCTGCTGAGATGGCTGAAGGTACCAACTGATGTCACTGCAGTGCCTCTGGTCGGGAGGTCCTCGGTGCGAGTTCACGATGGTAGAAGATTTCAACACTAGCTTCGTAGCTAGGTCGAATTCAGTCGCTGTCTGGAGGAGAATTCTAGCGGCCGGCTGCTCTTATCGATCATTTTCCGTAGTTTCTCTGACCTACACAAGCGAAAGCCGGTGCAGTACCCTAACAAACGGGCCGCGGACCGCGCGCGATCTTTCCTTCCCTTTCCTTGTCCTACCCTCACCCTTTCTCACACTTTCACTGACAAGCAAAACACTTCAACACATGACGGGAGACCAGTCGAAAGATTACAGCTTATGAGGTGTTCCGCTGGAAGGAGAAAACCCCTCTAACCTCTGTGCAGGCCGCAGACATCAAGTCAGGCAGGAATACCACCCCATCCCAGGTTTAAAAAACATGCACTACGCTTACAGGACTAATGACACTAGCAGTTGATGTATCATGAAACGCGGTCTCATCAATCAATCAATAATTATTTCCTTAATTTAATTTGATTTGTGTCCTGGGGTGTGTGTGTGCTGTGCCCTGATGCTGGCGTTGTGCGCTCAGCTGGCGTCGTCGGGGGAGCGGCAGGTGACGCTGCGCGCGGTGCCGCCGCATCTGTCGGGCGCCTTCAGCTGCGAGGTGTCGGCCGACGCGCCCTCCTTCAGCACGGCCGTGGCGCGCGGGGAGCTCACCGTCACGGGTGAGCGCGCGTTGCACCTGCGCACGCCACTGTTGGCGGCTGCGTCGTGTGTAAAACGATGTGTGAGGCGTAGCGCCGTCAGTGTTATTTAGCACACCATAAATAAATTGTTCTTTGGCTCTATTGTTTCTCTAACTGTCCCAACCTACAAGAATTGTATTGAAAATGGCCGTAAGGGCTGAAAAAGCTTTATACTGTATTAACCTTTTCGTGGTTGTCGGATGATGTACTTCCCAATAACATCTATCCTCTCATTCAATGGCAATCATATTTCCCCCTTTTGAGTGTGGTAATATCTAGTGAAAAGTCTTAGAAATAGAGTAAAATCGATACCTAGCTACATCAATTTCTTTGAAAATAGCCGCAAAGGTTGAAAAAGCCTTATGCTGTATCAGCCCTTTCGTAATTGTAGGATGATGTATTTCCCAATAACATCTATCCTCTCATTCAATGGCAATCATATTTCCCACTTTTGAGTGTGGTAATATCTAGTGAAAAATCGATATCGGTTTCATATTGCGACTTTCACTAAATAATGACATCATCTTTTGTAAAACTATTTTAAGATATCTTCTCCTGTAAACTTCTTCAGTTTCAACAAATTCGCTAAATGTAATATCAACAACACACAAAAATAATCCAGAAAAAATACCTAAGAACTACCACACAAGCTTTCTGGTTTATTTTCAATAAACTATTACACCACCAACTTAACTTAAAACCCATCGCTTACCACATAACTTTCCTTGCCAATAATTTATATTCTAACTTGCACCTCATTTATCAAAATAGACACATTAACATAGAAAATATAATGCAGAACCAACGAGAATAAAAACATATATCCAATTCATTCTTTTATGTTCATATTTTCCAATCTAATTAATTTTTTAGAGGTGCTCTGTGACTCCCCTCCTCAACTGTAGTTTAGATTTAATTTATAAGTTAGTTACAAGCTTAACAATTCAAATAAAAAGTACTTTCTCGCATTATTTCTAAATTTGCAATTTTTGAGAATTCCAGAAGATAGTTGTAAAGATAAAAGTTTGCAGAGATCAAATACGGCCAATTTCGACCCCAGTCCCGTAATAGTGTGTGTAACTGGTGTACTGCCGATATATTATAAATACGTTTAATGCTTCACTGTGTTGCTATCGCACGGAAGCAACTGTAAAACTAACTGGTCAATGCAATGAATAAGTGACTACAACCGCTGAAAACTTTTTTTTTCGCGTGGGTCCCAGTAGTACCCTAAAGGTCTTAAGTAGCCCGTGATGACGGTACCCTCAAAAAACACAATATCCGTTTGAAACTCCCGAAGTCTCGAGTTAATTCAGATCGATTGGGTAATATTAATTTTGAAAAAAATGGGAAGAACGTTAGGAACGTTGACCACAGACAGACGGACAAACAGACAGACTATTTTGCCGTTTTATATTTTCAAGGACCCACAAAACATGGATTATGGCTACATAACGTGTTGAAAGATTTTTTCCAGGTTTAGCAACAGCATTTATCCACTTTTTCCTAACCAGAGCCCGGTAGTAAGAGTTTTTCTGCCGAAAATTTGTCATTTTGCGACGCACGATTACATAACTTTCTCTTCTAACAAAGTTCCTTCGAAAAGGCTAAAAAGTAAAAAGGCAGTGTATTCTCGGTTATCAAATTCAGTGCATAATTACCTCATTCTGTTCTTTCCACATTGGTAGACTTTATTGCTGCATACTACAACAGAAGAATTCGTTTTCTAAAATAAGTCTTTCATTTCATTCAAAGATAACCCCTCTCATCTATAGCATAATTACTTAAGTGTCTTAATTAAACGTATAAATTATTGAAACAAAATTGAGCGGTCTTTATTTATGCAAGTAAATTTCATTGTCTTATTAGACACCATTTAATGAAATAAATGTGAACATTTTAAATTCAAAGTACTCTGTGTAGTGTAAAAATCTCATATGTAATATGATTCAAGCATCTAATAATAATAATAATAATAATAATAATAATAATAATAATAATAATAATAAGACAATATTATGTATAATATGTAAATTGGTTGGATAATGCTTCTATTTTTCTATTTTCAAAAGAACGAAATGTGTCTGGTGTAGTTATTTTATCACTAGTCGGCCTTTGATCTTATATCAATTGCATATAGGAATAATCATATAACCCTAACTGCTGAGTGGTTGCAAGGTCTGCAAGACCATCACGGGCTGCTAGGGCGATGGCGTGGGAACGTGGTTCGAGCCGGGTACGCCATCCATACCAAGGACCGCTACGAAAATGGTGCGCTATTAGGACATACGCCGTCCCACTACGCGTCCCACCTTGCTATGAAATATTTCTCTCGTTTTGGCGGACGAAAATGTCAACATTCTTAAATAGTAGTATCGATATAAAATTTATTTGGTATGTCAGGTTATTGGAAAGTGGATTTCATGAAACCAATGTTTACTACCGGTCTTCCGATGTTTACTGCCGATTCTATAAAGTAGAAATTTGCGCTCATTCCGGTTATTGCCAATGAATTTTATTTACCATTTGATACTTTTGATAGAATAATACACAAAACTGTATATTAGTAGTAATATTTTTCTATTCATTTTCGTTCCTTCGATAAAGAAACAATTTGGGATAATTTCGATAGCATTTTTTTATTTTTTATTAAAAATTATTTAAGGAATACTTTATATCATGATCAGAATATTATGTTAGATGACAGAAATGTCAATAAAATCAGATCAATTCCCCTTATTTAATATAGCAACATTGGTCTTCGTAAGTGAGGGTGGGTGAATTAATTTGCAACATTAAAGGTAAATAAAAATATACATGATACTAAAACACAAGTAATATGATTGTTTAATTTAATTAAAGTCATTCATAAAAAACGTGTCAAAAAGGTACTGTTAGAAGCGATAGACATCTGCACTGCAAGTTTCAAATATGCTGAGACTCAAAGAGTGAACAATTCCTTTTTTTTCGCGTATAGGCCAACTCGAACCACGTGTCATGCCACGTTTCAACCTCGAATCCTGCTTCATCAGGTGCAAGTACCTTTCTGGGGGGGGGGGCGTATAGCATTGATTCCCGATTTTTATCCCCTAAGGTTGGTAGCCCTGGAGGTATGGACGATGAGATGATGAAGATGATGGTGGTGAGAGATGAAAGGACGGCACACACATATATAGACAAACACAAATACACCCAAGCCCGAGATGGGACTCGAACTCGCTGTCTTCTGAATCCAAGACCGCTACGGCACTACTGCCCTAACGCTCTCGGCCATCTGACCATATTATTGAACATACTTAAAACAATGAAGTTGAGCAACAAAGGAGATGGACTTGGGGTACATTTCGCGCTGTACATTCGCGGCCCGCTGTGTGTGCTGTGCGCAGACTTCCCGGACCTCAAGATCTCCAGCGACCTGTACGACGGCGGCCACTCGCTGACGGCCAACTGCACCTACCAGCCCCTCAAGCTGCCCACCTCGCTCACCTTCTACGTCAACAACGAGCCGGTGAGTGCGCCGCTATCTCTCCCTCGGCATCCAACTACAAAAGGACTTGAGATTGGAAACGGCCGACGGATTCATATTAAAAATTCAATTTAATAGTTCACTGAAAATTATGTAAATCTAATATTCTACAATATTTTACGAAATATTTTACGTAATATTGTGAAGTATTAAATCTATATAATTTGCAGTAAATTGTTTCGTTTTAAGTACTAGTAGAATAATTGTAGACAAGCATTCTGCTAAGAATAATTGTTAATTATAATTCAAGGTTTGATACATCAGTTTGAGTGAATTGCAGCTTTTTCCTTTCCGAATTTCCAATTTACACTCCAAAAACTATCGCTCAGTGAATGAAAGATGGCTAAAAGGTGATTCTAAATATTATTAATAATTATATTAATAATAATAGTAATAATAATTATAAAACAATAATAATATTATATATTAATAATTATGAATTATAAAATAATAATAATGAAGTATTAAAATCTAATAAAAACGTTTCCTTCTATAAATTAAAGAAAATTCAAAGAATATTTTAGGTTAGTAATGTTCGTATTTACTCATCTGATTTCATTTGCACGTGTATTTGCAACTATGTCAGATTGTTTGAAATTCCTTTGAGTAAAGTTAAACCCTGTCGAGAGATTATTGATCTGAAGACTCAAAATGTTTCATAGTTACAGCAGTACACTTTGAAACCTCGAAAATTCTCGTGCGTGCTAGCCCGTTGATGAGCATGTCCTCAAGTAACAGAGATGTACAGAAGAAAGTGAGTCATCATGAATGTCGGCAAACTAGCTGGTTGGTGTGCAAATGGGTCGGTATGCGAGCGAGTCAGTAAGCGAGTGAGTAGGTAGGCGAATGAGTCCGCATGCGAACGAGTGTTTTGCGAGCGTGTTTGGTGGGCGAGCAATTGGTGTTAGTAGGCGAGCAAGTGGATGTGTGAGCGAATCGAGGTGCGAATGACTCGGTGGGTCTGTTTACGAACGAGTTGGTTTACGAGTGGTTCGCGAGTGAGTAGATGGGTGAGCGAGTCCGTATGCGAACGAGTCGGTGTGTCAATTTGCAAACGAGTTTGTTTACGTGTGTGTTTGTGGGCAAACGAGTGGATTTATAAGCGGTTCGGCGTGCAAACGAGTTGGGGAGTCGGTTTGCGAACGATTTAGTTAGCGGCCGTGTCGGTGGGCGAGCGAATAGATGTGTGAGCGGGTCGGCGTGCGAACGAGCAGGTTTGCGAGGACGTCGGTGGGCGAGCGAGCAAATGTGTGAGCTGGTCGGTGTGCAATCATTTCAGTGGGCGAGCGAGTCGGTGTGCTAGTAGGTCGGTAGTATGCGATCGAGAGTGAGAGCGAACGAGTCGGATTATGAACTTATCGGCGGGGGGACGAGTCGGTGTTCGCGAGTTGGTGATCCAGCGAGCTGGTTTGCGAGCGAGCGAGTTAGTGGGCAAGCGAGTCGATGGGCGAGCCGGTCGTTGGGCAAGCGGGTCAGTGGGCAATCGAGTCGGTAGGTGGGCGAGTCAATGGGCAGGTAGGATAAAGTGTGGATGAAATGGTCAGAATAGAAAATGTTTAGTAAAGCTAATTCGGTAGGGAACTCATCGATGGTAAGTGCGAAGGTTGGGAGCTCGCTTGAATGGTGTGATGGCAGCGGACTGGTGATGTTCAGTGGGTCAGAGGTCTAGTGCATGATATTGAAACTACACCACTGTAGCGAATGAACAAATGGCGGGATCGAGGCGGAGGTGAGGAGGGCGAAGTTGTCAAGCGAGTTCTGAAGGTGGGCGTGTGGGTGCGAGGGAGGGAGGCACGGCCGTGGCCCTACCCAAAAAAAGGACTCCGCCCGCCTGGACACGCCCTGCCCTGGAACTCTTTGAGTCATGGTGGAACAATATTTGACGTGAGAGGGAGTGGTCGACGCTCTTTGAGAGTTCATGGTCGTATGTGAGGGTATTTGAAACGGAATTATATGTCAGAGTTGTTACAAAACAAATAAAGCATGTTCTAATGTACGATTTGTTTGTTTCTTGTTCATATTTATAGTTCTTTTCCGTTAATGATGATATTTTACACACATTCAAAACTTGAGAAGGTACCCACTACATGAGTTTCAAACAAAATGCCTTTATTCGTATTTCCACCTCTTAAAGCACAATTTGATTGCTCGATCTTTCATTGCGTTGCGAATATCTCGGAAACAGTTGAGAAATCGGTCAAAGGGCTAAAGTGTTTCTGAAAGTTCACAAAGTGTACCAGTTTCCATTCATTGCGATAACGCATTGAGGATATGAGCAGTTCAAGGCAAAATAGATATTAGTTCAGTACCGACCCACCTTTTTCTGCCTTTCTCTTTTTACGCATTTATCCATTTTTTTACCAGTGACGGTGGTTAGTTAGTCTACGGTCCAAACGGACAAAAGTAAAAACAGTGTACCTCAAAACATTACAATAAGCGCTTAAGATATAAGTAAAGTTCTTCCGGCCTGCAGTTGGCCTGACGCGCATTTGAACCCCGGACGAGAGTTGTGGGATTCGAGTCCTATAACCACAAACTATAACATTTTTATATACATAAGACAATTGCACCATCTCGCGCTGGACAATCTGGATAGTGTTTTTAATATTTGTGAAAATGTGGACGAAAATGTGTTCGGAAACTATTTATAGCAAACGATCAATAATTCTTTAAAAGCCTCTGGAAAATTATTTAGCTAGTTTGAAATTCCTGCCCAGGTGGTCATTCTGCTAAGAAATGTAATGAGAAAAAAACAACAGAACGAACAATTAAAAAATGTATATTATTTATTTTTTCCAAGCTCTCTGCCAATTGTGGTATGTGATGACCGAATTTAAATTAATCCACATCTTACAAGCTTTCGATTACGCTCTGAACCATTTTTTATGGTGATCTGAGGACTACACAATTACTACCCTACTTTAGACATTTAGGTATTTATGTACCTTCGATCCTAGTGAAAAAGCTTTTAAGTCGTCAATACTACATGTTTTCAGGAGAGAGAGCAAAAATCTGACAGTCCTGTGATTATTTGAACTAGCAATTTTCTAATATGAATAATTAGATAAATTATTTTGAGTTAATCAAGCATCTCGAGTTCATGATATTGCCTAAAAAATCAGACTACTCGACTTATCTTGTTAAATGTTATTGATTTTACAAAATTTAAGTTTTGTTGGTAAATACACATCACCTAATAACAAATTTACAAAAGGGATTTAGATACCTGTTTATATTTAAATGTAAAGAATAATTTGGAGAATCCAAGAGAACACTTATTTTGTTTTCACAAAATAGTTGTCAAAGATAAAGAGTTACATACACAAGCGGATGGAGGGATTTTACGTAAATGTACAGGCCAGACATCTTAAAACGCTTTCAAAGATATTTCTAATATGACTCCAAATTCTGCGCATTTCAGCAAAATAAATCACACGTTCTTGCACTAATTCGTTACGAACTGTCAGCGAATTTTAATTGAAAAGGAGAAAATTATGCGCTACTTAGTTAAATTAAAATCGTAATTAATCTTGCACTGTACGTGTTTACTGAGAGAAAGACACATGCTATTCTTATAGAAAATTTGTGAATAATTGTGATGGATTCGGTTACACACGAATCGAGGCAAAAAGTAGTGTTCGTCCACTGAGGAATGAGCTTATGTAAAGTATAGGCCCTGTTCCAAATTTAGACGTTGTTTATTAGTCAACGGAAGCACTTTCTTCGCAATAGGGAAGAGTGTCATAACATAGAAGTCGTGTGGGTGGGGCGGCTGCGGCAAGGCGGCGCCTGAAAATGTTTGAGACATTCGAGCTGCAGCGACGGCGCACTCAAAAATTCTGTGGAAAGAATATGTTTCTTGGCTATTTACATTTTATTTCTCCCACAAAATCTTAAATCCGTAGAGAAAACTAATAAGATTTACATTTCAATATAAAAATAACCTGTCACAATTGAGATCATGCAAAATGTTTCGAAAACGAAACGTCTCTTTCATTACAAATGAGAGAAAAGAAAATGTTTGTTTCTAAGTTTAGGAAAGAATACTGTCTGTTGAATTGTTCTCACTCAAAGATGTCTGTTGTTGAAATAAATTGACATTCTTGCAGAAAGAAGAAATGTTCATTGACAAATTCTGGAGATCTAGCCACTAAAACTAAGAATATTTGTGTTCGTGTAAAAACATAGCTTCTTACTTTCCTTGCCCTTCACAATTGTACTATACCAGCTGTAAAAAGAAAGTTTGCCTAAATGTTCCGAGTTTTTTTTTGTTTTTTATCGTACTGAAAATTGCTGTCTTTGACATTGAAGTCCTATAGATTTCCTAAATATTTCTTGGTAGCAAAATTCTTATTAAGAGCCGAATTTATTCGCTGCCTAGAGACGGATTCTAGTGTCTAGCTGCCTTGATAGGTAGATTTTCGTGGTTTCTACGATCAACACCAGGCGAATGCCGGCGCAGTACTCTAACAAACGGGCCACGGGCAGCGCGCTATCTTTCCTTCAAATTCCTTGTCCTATCCTCACTCCTTACTTACGCACACATGCAATTACATCCACTACACTACACACTCACTCACACACACACACACACACACACACACACACACAGGGAGACCGGTCTAGAGTATAGAGCTTGTGCCGGCTGGGTCGGTGCCCCGCTGGTTAGAGATATCTTATTGGAAAAAACACCTCTAGCAAACGGCGGAAGGATAACTAACAGACTGGGTGAAGGTCGGCGCCGGATCTCACCATTCAGCAGAGGACGATTACCGCCACCGCCCGAGGAAAAAAGATGTTCTACACTTAGGAGTCTAAAGACCTTAGCAGTGCACGTGCCCGGAATGACAAATCATTAAATCAAAAACTAATTGACGATGCTCTCTCTTTGTCCCTTATATTTCCTCTTCCTTTCTGACGTCACGCAGATTTTCATAAAAAAAGATAAAATAAGCTGAAAAGGGATTGATGAAGAAATGAAT